CAGGCTGCCCTTGCACTGTTTTGAGCAGTGCCATGTTTCCAAGTGAACATGTCTACAACGGCTTCGCAAAGGCTGGATTCGTATATTCGCATGCCACTTCCTCTTATGACTCCGGCTTTCAGGCAGAAGCTCTAAGTGCCATGAGAGTTAAAGCTCCTCCTGCCTCAGGACCAAGCAGCAACGGAGCAGTGCCTGCGCAAAGCGGCGCTGATGGGCCCCTTTCTGGAAACCCCACCGTGGAGCTCCTAGTAGCAGAGTGCCGCCAGCGACTCCGCATTTGCGTCTACTGCAGTCCTAGCGACCCGCAGACGCAAGTGCTCTTTAGAAGATTCCCAGCCCTCACCAGCTGCTGCATGGTTAACTACTTCTGGAGTTGGTCATCGCAGGCCCTGTACTCGGTTGCACAGCAGAAGCTGCTATTGGTTGCCGCTGCTCTGCAACAGCATGACAGTACATTGCCAAGCATCCAACAGAAAGAAGCACATGGAACTGAAGAATCGCTGTCAAACCCTTCTGCAGACCCTAGCGAAAAAATCAAACACCTTTGCGGGGCATGTTCGGATATTTTCCAGTCAACAAGAGACATCGNGACCCTAGCGAAAAAATCAAACACCTTTGCGGGGCATGTTCGGATATTTTCCAGTCAACAAGAGACATCGCTGACTGCTACCGGGAAGAGCAGAGACGGTATTTTTATGTCACTCCGGCCTCTTTTCTTCGCTTTTTAGACGGCTTTTGCTACGTATTTATGACACGAGCTTCGCAGCACCATCGCCAGCAGCAACAATACGAGCTCGGTCTGCAAAAGCTGCACGACGTGAGCTTGCAAGTCATGGAGATGCAGCAGCAGCTTGAAAAGCTCCAGCCGGAGCTAGCGAAGTCATCAGTGGAGATACAGCAGCTCATGCAGGTCTTGACAGTCAAGCAGGAGAAAGCTGCAAGTACAATGGTAGGTCGAGCTGCCACCTGCTGAGGCCGACCTACGGGACGAGCCCCCATTTTAGAGAACAACTGCTTTTCCTGGTTACTGCACAGCGGGAACAGAACTGTGTGGGTGTAAAGATGTTGTCAACCTGACGGACGAACACTATACTGAAAGGGATAGCGATCTTTCATGCTGTCGGCCTGCCCAAACAATGACACATGAGCGTGATTTGTGTCACCGTGCCTGCTAGAGCCTCGTGGAAGCCGAGGAGAGAGAATGCAAGACCCAAGCGGAAGCAGCTGCTGCAGTCGAACGCGAGTGCCAAGACCACCTAGCCGAAGCCATGCCTGCTTTACTCGCGGCCGAAGAGGCCCTTAAGAAACTAAGCAAAGCAGATATTACTGAGCTTAAGAGTATGAAGGCTCCCCCATCCGGCGTGGTGAAGGTTATGGAGGCTCTCTGCAAGCTATTTGGAGTTCCGCCAATTTTCGTTCAGGTTTCACCCTCGTTGCCCCGTCAAGCAGACTATTGGCAGACAGGAAAGAAACACTTACTCGGCAGCAGCCGCTTCCTTCAGCGCCTCCTTAACTTTGACAGAGATACTATTGCCCCAAATGTCATGGCCGCCATTGCTCCCTACGACGACGACGCGGACTTTGACCCAGAAATCGTCAACAAAGCTTCAGTTGCAGCCACAAGTCTCTGCCTCTGGGTAAAAGCTTTAATAGCTTATGACAGGGCAAACAGTGCAGTGCGGCCTCGCCGAGCGGCACTCCAGCAGGCGCAGAGCGAGCTACATGCAGCTGAGGCAGTACTCCGCGATAAGAAGGAGGAGCTACAGCAGCTTGAGACGCTTATCACACATTTGTCTCAGCAGTACCAGCAGGCTCTTCAAAGGTCAGAATCACTTCAGCAGGAGGCGCAAACCTGCGAGAGACGTTTGTCTGTGGCCGAGAAACTTATTGCCAGTCTAGGGGGTGAACGCGTCCGGTGGAACCAAAGCCACGAACTCTTGAAGGTAGGACATTCCAAACCACACGCGTATCTAGAGAACAACAAAGCCAGATGCTGGTATATACGCAGGAAGAAGAGCTATCGGGAAAACGTACTGGTCCACTAAGTACCAAATACCAGATTCGGGTCCCACTGGGTGCCTGAAAGCGCATACTGTTGCCTTCTCCTGCAGGGCAAGGTGGCACGAGTCACGGGGGATGCAACCTTGAGCGCAGCCTTTATAGAATTCGGCGGCATTTTCCGGCCTTCGTATAGAGTCAGATGCCTCACGGCGTGGCAGCAGGCATTGCAAAAGTTCGGCTTGCAAAGCACGCCCGACTATTCCCTGCAAGATGCGCTCACCAGTCCCCAGGAGGTGCAGCAATGGCTTATGCAAGGTCTTCCCGATGACGAACTCTCCATTGAAAATGCAGCTATCACGCTTAACGCGCAGTGNACTGATGTAGCAGCGCCTCACAGTTCGCGGTACAACTCTGCTAAATAGATTATAGATGCGACCTAAATATAAGCATGCGATTTCTGGCTTGAAGTACTCCGTCTTTATTCAGGTGTTGCGGGCTGAAGAGCCTAATCTTCTGAGGTCATTGCAGCTCCTCATGCAGTGCGGCGCTATAGTGATTCTAGAGTGCTTCTCTGAGAGACTGGACCCTGCCCTTAACAACTTACTGGAGTGGAAGCGACCGCGAAATGTTTCGTTATCCTTTGGAGCTTCTAGTGCCTCAGAGGCTGCTCACACTGAGTTGGACGACGGAACCTCTTCCACTGTTGCTCTAGGCAGTGCGCTTGTAGAAGTTCACCCAGAATTCCGCTTGCTGCTGAAGACTCCACTAAATGCTCCTCATTTCCCTCCGGAAGTCTGCTCTAGGCTTACTCTCATCGACTTTTCCGTCGGTTGCAAAGGTTTAGAGCAACGGTTACTGCGGCTTGCACTTCAAGCTGCTGCGCCAGATATTCACGCAACGTGTTTGCGTCTTGTGCACGAGGGTGCGGAAACTCGTGCGCAACTTGTATCTGCAGAGCAGCGNCCTCGAGTACCTCTTGCACAAACCAGAAGCTTATGTTCAAGCTACACAGAGCTCCAGGCTCACGTTCAGGGCTGCGCACAAAGAGTTAGTGTATATAGTAACCTGAATATGTGGAATGAAGAGCCGCAGCCGATGAGGGAATATCCAATCCTATTTTGTATGGCGTATGCTTGAAGGGGCGCATGTGTTCAGGAGAGCGTCTTAGATGACTTGGAACTACTTAGTACGCTTCGGCATGCAAAAGCTGTTTCCGAAAGCTGCAGTGAACGGCTTCAAGAACAGCAGAAAGCTCAGGCTGCTGCGGATGCAACTTTGTCGTTATATTCCCCTGTTGCCCGACGGGCAGCTAGTCTCTTCCAAGTCCTACAGCAGCTTGAAAGCGCTCACCCCATGTATCTCTTCAGCGTTCAGGTCTTTCAACAGTGCTTCGTCGACGCTGTTTTGGTGCGTAATCCTGTGGAATCAACAACATTGATTGCCCCAAAGTCATCATTTAACAGCGCTTTCGTATGCGTATGGAGTATTGTTTTTAAGTTAGACGAAAAACCNGCAAGGCAGCAAGATGCTTCTGTCTACGCTTCTGACTTAGTTGGGGCAACGTTGCGGAGAGTATACCGCAGCATTAACCCTTGCCTGTTCGAGAACCATAAGCCCCTACTGTCGGTTCTCCTTGCGTTGCAGTCCCTGCAACTGAGAGGGGCAGCTACACACGAGGAACTACAGCAGTTACAAGCGCCTCTGGTTCTGCCTTATGTTGAGGATGAGAAGGTACAAAAAAGCCAGGACTCCTCTTCAGGGGCACCGAGAGCTGCAGACACATCATGGCTGTCAGCAAGTTCTCGTGAAAAGCTAGAGGGCCTTCGTCGTCTCGGCGAGCCATTCAGTTCTCTCGTCTCCGCCGTTTTAGATGGGCACGGTGATTGGGAGGCAGCTCTTTATGAGGAGAACCCTCTAGCGAGCGAATGGCCCGATAACTGGAACCAGAGGTTGTCACTGTTGCAACAAACTCTTTTAGTTCAATGCATAAGGCCCGAATGCCTTCGCAGTTGCCTACAGCAGGTCTCGGAGTCGGAGCTAGGCACAGTTTTGGGGGAAGTCACCCCTCTGGGCCTCGGAGAAGCTCTAGAATCTGCTGGATCAAAACGCCCGCTTCTCATAATGCTTGGACCGGGAGCAGACCCCCAAGCAGCCCTTTTACAGCATGCTGAAGCAACCCATATGCGCAACAAGTTCGTTTCAGTGGCTATGGGCAAGGGGCAAGGTCCGAAAGCAGCCTCTGGTGCGAACGCAGTATTCCCGTTGCACTGAAAGGTAGCATACTGTTTAGCTGGACGTGGTGACGCTGCCTGACCAAATTTGTAAGCCATATCTCTCTAAATGGTCTTTTTTTCCTTCTTGGCAGCTATCATGGTCCCATGAAAGGATGTGGACGTTTTGTCTGCAGCGATCAACAGCGCCGCGGAGAGCGGTCAGTGGGTGCTTCTCCAAAATTGCCACCTTGGGCTAGGTTTCCTGAAGCAGCTAAGTGTCATAGTCTCTGACTTGGCAATGCAAACTCCCCACAAAGATTTTCGGCTGATCCTGACAACCGTCCCTTGCGACGACTTCCCCAGCGCCATCCTTCTTGTGCGCGCATCCTCACGTTTTTCCACACACACTTGCTTGTGTGCGTGCTTGCCTGCCTGCGGGCAAGCACGCGTGCCTCCATCCTCAGCCAGCACAGGTCTTTTCTACTGGTTATCTAGAACTCGTTCCAAATAGGTGTGACCTTTCTGTTCGTTCTAATTTCCTCCAGAGAAGTTCGAAGCTGGCATATGAGCCACCTCAAGGGTTACGGCAGAACTTAATCCGCATCTACACCGAAGCCTTTCCCACATGGCTGGTAGGTAACATTTTACTCGCATATGCGATGAAGTCTCTGTATGGTTTGGGCAATGCAAAGAGTTGGCGATTTATAGTAGATTCCGCATCGAGGCCCACTTATGCATCTTGCAACGAAACGTTAGGTTCGAGCTGCACGCAACGACTTTCATTAAGAGCTGGCCAGTGCAGCGTTGTGTTTCCCGATCCAGGACACGCATCCAAGGGCTAACACCTTGAGACCAGTGGTCTATCGAATTTGTTTACTTCACGCGCTTCTGCTGGGTCGCCGCCGCTTCGGCCCATTGGGTTGGGTTAACCCTGTGGAGTTTTCGTTTAGTGACTTGGCAATTTCGTTACAGCAGCTCCAAGCTGCTGCCCCGCCAGATGGCTTGCAACCCTTGCCATGGAGCCTCTTACAGCACCTTGTATCAGAAGTCAATTACGGCGGCAGAGTGACAGACGAGTGGGACCGGTAAGGTACAGCCCATATAGCAAAGCGCGCGTTTACTG